GTCATGAGTGTTACATAAAGTATATATTACGGATGTACTTGTCGTGAGAAAAATATTGTAAAACTATACATACAGAAAATATTCAAGAGATTCAATTACAAAATAAGATCACATTTGTCCTAAATTACAAGCGTCGTCCCCCTTCCGGTGTTCCTCTTTTTTCAAATTGCCTCCTCTCCGGTAAACAAACATTGGACATGCGAGGTTTTTACGTTTCGAACGAAAAGCAGCGATAAAGTGTTCAGATTACCACGTTTTTAAGTTTTAAGTTTAGCATTCAGGCCCCCCTTTCTCTGTGTTATTGACATGGAGTCTAGGAAACATTGGACCCAGGGTTTTATCGCAACCTCCATTACCGCCGATCGTCGACTCATCTTTCCCACCTTTCATGGCCACTCCTAAACAAAAAACCCACCAAGAAAACCCCCTCTCCATGAAAACCCAATCGGAGAATTCCCAAGAGTGGAGAGAAACAGTGGAGGCGAGTAAGAGAGATGGTCCGAATGGCTGAGTAACCAATGAAAGAAAGAAAGAAAGAAAGTAGAGAGAGAAAGAGAGAGTAAGTAAAGAAAACGGGTCTTTTTCTTAAGTGAAACACGAAGAATTTTACACAAGCCAGAGAAAGTAACCAAAGAAAGAAGTAGAGAGTATAGAGAGAGGGAGAGAGCATGACTATTAACCAAAAACCAGAGAAACTAGTACAAAAAAAATAAAGATTACTTGATTAGGCCTGAAAATCAAGAAAGACAAGCTTCTTTAGCGAGATGTAGCAGGGTGCAAAGCTTTGTTAATGATGGATTTCAGCAACGCCTCTTTAATGGTATGGTGGATTTTGAAGAGATGTAGAAGAATAACAAGGTTTTTCAATGGTGGATTTTAGGAGAGAAGGAGCAGGGCAACATGCTTCATCATAGTTAAATTTTTGAAAAATAAATAGCTTCATCAATGGTAGATTTAGAGAGATAAAAAGGATAACAAGCTTCGTCAATGGTGGATTCGAGTAGAGTTATAGCAGACAGAGAGAGAAGAGTAAGCTGAGGTCTTCTGCGACTCGAGTCCAATGAGGTTTTGTCATTTCCCTGTATTATCTCAAGATTTTAGTAGGGCATTTAGCGGACATCGAAAAACAAGATGGAGAACCTAGTTTTTTCAAAGCTTATCAGATCTACCGCAGACTAAGCAGGCTAAGCGGAAAAATGGATGAAGCTCTTAATTTCTCAAATTTCAGCAGAAATCCACCAAATTCTGGATATAAAAAATTTATGAAACTCTTAACATCTCAAAACCTCCGCAAGAATGAAGAAAAACAAGGAGATAACAGATTTCAAAGAGGGGAAAGAGCACGAAATCCTCTGTAGTTCCACAAACGCTAGACTGAAATGCCCTACATTTTGTTGCAGGAATTTATTAGATGGAGAAAGAAAGAGATGAACCTTGGATCTATGGACCGGTAGTTGCCTCCTTGCCGTCTTCCATTGGTTCAAACACATGGCTTTGATTTCTTGGGGGCGAAGAGAGCTGTTAGGTAATTTGAACTCATTTGAAATGTAAAACCCCCACCTATCCCATGTTAAGTTTATCGTAAATGGGTAACTTGGAAGAAAAAAAAAAATAATAAGAAGAAAGATGGTGCTGTCTGTAATTTGAGACAAACATGATCTCATTTTATAATTGACCCTTAATATGGTCCATACGTAAATTTTTCAAAAATATTTTGTGAAAATGTAAGTGCTATATCTTGTATATATGGTAGGTTTGAATGTACTGTATGTGTCAATTGTATCTTCCTGTTCTGTCATGTCTGGAGGTATATATATACGAAAGTTGTATATTCAATGAGGTGGACACCATGGCATGATGGCTAGCAATGGTTTGAAATGTTATTTTGAGAAATCACCCCCAATACCTAGTAAAAAATTTCAAACATATTAGACATATTCCCATCAGATTGAGTTGTGTTAATTAATAATAGGTAAGAACATGGCACCACCATTTTAGCGCAATCTAAATTAGGAGTCTCCAGTGTCTCAGCACCTTGAAGTGTTTTCCTCTTCTTCCAATTGGAGAAAATTTGTTATTGGACTTCGAAAAACAAGTCTTTCATTCACTCAAGCACACATTTGGTACCGTTGCTATAAATACTTGCCCTCTTGTAAGTTTTTTTTAACTACCCCTCTGAGACAGAGAGATCGAGAGAGAGAGAGAGATGGAAAATAAGGTAATGGCTGTGTTATTGGTGAGCTTAATAGTTATGGTCATGGCAGGAGAAGGAAGTGCATTCTGCATTCATAGATGTTACAATGAGTGCACGGTGCAGATGGTATATTCCATTGTTGGCTGCATTGGTGATTGAGCTGACTTCTGCCCTGCCGGTGGTAGTCTCGACCGCGGGCCAGATGTGCCCTTCAACGGTTTAAAAGGTAGATAACATTTGCTTTCATGCATCTTCTCCTCTGTCACCTCTCTCTTCTCTCTCTCTCTCAATCAAGATAAAAATCACAATATTTGCTTCAATTCTCTTATTCATAATCTTATGGCAGTTGTATGAATGCAGATGATCATGTTCGCTAAAGCATCTTGTGACAGAGCCAGAGTACCAAACTTGGCTTTTGATGGGGGAGAGATTTGGGAGAGTGAAAATTTTGACTTTTGAGCATGTTGGGCCGATTTTTTTTTATTCTTTGGTTAGCAAATTGTGGCGTTCACTCCCTCCAGCTAGACAATATTTGTAGTATTTTTAGTACGTGCAAATTTTAGAGATGGAACCTACTCAACTTAGTGACCGTAAAAGAAAACGAAATTAACTATGCTCCACTGATTTATCAGAGAAAAATCACCTTAGATTTGAATTGAGACCATTCAATTTTTTAATACTCAGATCCTGGCATTTGAGAATTCAAAATCCAGGATTCTAAATGCCGTTCTGGTAGTTCAAAATGTCTAATGCTTTAGGGAGAAAATGTTCATTATGCTCTAATCGGAGAACAAATTAATTTTGCTCACATAAAAAGAAACCTTTTTTTTTCTTTTTTTTTCGGGGTAATTCAGTGGGGAATACATACCCCTACATGGTTTTTCAAGTAGATTATGAGTTCGTTTGTTTAAAGTGTAAGTGGGTTGATGTTGGTGGGAATGAAAACCATGATCATCCTACTCTCCATCAAATAGGGGTTTCGGGTGTAGTGTCAGAGTGGATAATGTTTGAAACATTTAAAGGGTTGGTAGATTCTACAGTCTCATAAGTACC